GGGAGTTAACAGCGGTCAGCGCCTCCCAGCCCGCCCCGGCTCATGACCAGCTCATAAACGCCTTATACGTGCTCTTCCGGCAAGTAGTTTTGCTAATAAAATAAGTTAAAAATATGTTTGGAAGGGGCAATACCCCCTCCCCAGTGAGTACTTGTTGGCATCTGAGAGGTGAATCTTGTTTTGTGCGGCTTAGTCTTTTATCTGAAACTTCGTGAAAATAGCAAAACAGTGTTCCTGTAGATCAAATAGAAAGCTTAGATTGATGAAAACAGAAAAAGTTGCCGCTGCACTTAGGCATAACATGCATTTTGAAAGATACATCTTTATTTTAACACTTTTATGTCCTTCTGTCCTTTAACACTTTCTGTCATTTATGTCCTTTAACACTTTATGGTCCTTCTGACCAGTTGCAGATACTGAGAATGTATTTTTTGATACAGTGACTACATTCGCAAGATACTGTGACTTTCCTTATGCCTCCATAGGGCAGGATTTTTAAAAGCAATTGATATTTAATGGTAGCATTAATAGCAGTCAGTGACTATTTATTGCACGAGGAGCTTACTAGGGGCTACAGTCATCGCTTGTAAGCTGTGCCTGTTGGATCAACCAGGAGACCTCTTTGGATTTTCTCATAGAACAGACAGAAGCAAGAGAAAGACTAGATGAATTATTCTGCTGTGCTGCAGTTTATGGACTGCAGGCTAGGAATTTATCTTTGTATAGGTTGTTTACGTGCTCTTTACCCCTTAGTTGCAGCAAGAGGTAATGCACATTAAACATCTAGTGTGGTTTACCAGAAGTATAAACATTGTAATTCACTCAAGAAGGATTTGGAAGATTTGTTGTTGTTTAGAAAACTTAAATTGTTTATAAAACATGGCACAAATACTCAAATTTAAAAAAATTATGGAGATTCTTCTATATAAGTAGAAAACTAATATCTACATTATTGATGCTTGTACATAATGTATTAATGAAAACTTGAGATATTTTTTCCTTTTTTTTCCCTGCAAGTTTTGAACATAATCTTGCAATATGTTTTTCTATCCCTTAACAGGTTTTTCTTCTCCAGGAGTAAAGCCATGGCTGAAACGAGTGATAGCAACTTAGATAAAACAACCGTTGTTCAGCAAGCAATAGCCTCTTGTTGAGGAGCTATAATTACATAATTATTTGGTAAAGAAAGCCATCAAGCTTGGCACAGAGAGAATCTTTGCCAAGTGATTCAGTTTGACTCAGCATGATGTCTGCATATATGTGGGTTCTAAATTTTCACTAATATGTTGTATTTAAACAAATATTAAAATGTTAAATCCTTTCACATCCCTGATAATCTTTGACAATTTCTGAAAATAAGAGTAATTTTTTTAAAACTTTTTTTATAACATTATCTATGTTAAACATTATAACTTTATCTATGTTAAAAAGCTCAAACAAGCTATTAATAAATAACTAAATATTTAATTAGAGGGCTTATGTTGTCAGGATGCAGTATCAAAGTTCATCTCCTCCAGAATCCGTAGACTTTTGAAAAAGAGTAGTAAGTCTTAAGCCACTTACCTCTTGGTTTCTAAATAGATAAAGACATTGTGTAATCAAAGATATGACAATTATACGTTCTATGTAGTTGTAACTAATAAATGAGTTTTAAAAGGAAAGATGATGGCTGGTGTTTCATGTTGTATGTGAAGATGTCACACTTGCTGTAAATCAGAAAAAACACTTCTGCCTTCTATCCTTTTTTAGTAAATTCTAAACCCTTCAGAAGTCTAAAAATGTGAAGCTCAAAGCGTGTTTTTGTAGTGGCGATAATATTTTATCAAATAGGTTCAAAGTACATGATGTAGAAGAAATCAAAAACAAGTAAAGAGAATGATCTAGTATAAAAACAGTCTGACCTAAGATATAGTACCTGCATATGTAATGTGGACGCTGAGGCTACTTAATAATAAGATTTCAAAGCCTGAAGGATGTTCACATACTTACATAAAATAATGACTTTCAGTCTTGTTTGTAGCATTCCGCAGATGGTAGTATAACAAAAACATGTCTTCTGGAGCCTGGGAGGACAGTTTCATGGAGTCTGGCACTCTGAGGAGTACATTTGTTCCCTCTTTCCTTTTACATAAATTGTTATCATTGACTGTTCGAGATTTTTTTTCACTTCTGATTTTAGCCAGAGATAAATCTGTATTGCTGCTATATCTAACTAGAAATTGCTACTGAGTAAGAACAATTTTAGAAATATTAACTATATTCTTATATACCATTTTATTAGGAAAGTGTTTTGTATACTCCAATGGCCTTATAAATCATACATGTGTTTGTGAGAATGGGGACAGCAAAGCCTGGTGTAAAAAACCTGGACATTTCAAAGGGTCATTGGTAAGAACATTTTACATTTATACAAAACTGTACATTGAAAACATTTTTAAGTAGCCAACTTTAAATGTATCGGGTTTTTCCATGTTCGAGTAGAATCTGTTATCTTTTGAGAGGATGTTTGTGTGGTTACACTGTGTAATTTATATGGTGATTAATGATACCTTCCACTTTCTACAAGACAATACATATCCCTTCCTTAAGACAAAAAAGGGGACAGCTACACAGCTCTCCTCACTGGTTCTGGCCTCTATGATTTTATTTTCTCTGCTTGAGCTGTGTTGCCAGCAGCTGCAGATTGCAGATACTGATTTTCTGTACCTGCTTACGTCTCTTCTGTTCACAGAGCTCTCAGTACACTATGGAACTGAGCTAACACCACAGAGAGTATTTCAAAGTCAAGTTCATGTGTCAAGTTCTGGATACGCTGAAACTTGTAGATGAGCGTTTTAGCCAGACGCTTGGGGCAGGCGTGCTGATGGACGCTGTGATGCCGCTTCTTTAATCAAGATTTTGTTTGGCTCTTGCATTAAATTATGCATGTGATCAAGGATTTTTCAGTATTAAATTTCTGAGAAGACCAAAATGCTCATGTAAAAGGTTTCTTGAGCAGTTTTGCAGTGTTATTTTTTAAAAAAATAATAATTTGATAAGTTTGAATTTTTCAGTTAACTCTACCATATAATTTTAAGAAAATCACTTAGTTTTCTAATTGACATGATTCTATGCCCGTTTGTGCTGTGACAAGGTGATTCATAAAGAAGAATGATTATCATATCATTGGATCTCTCTGTGTTTATTTTTAAAAAAAAGTTGGAGAATTGCACAGCAAAGAAATCTATAGTTGACATTGCAGGTTTCCAGTGATAGAAATGTACAAATGTTTTGCTGTATTTGCACATGTAGTTCATAAGGTATGTAAATATGCTGCTCTGTCATTGGATTAGCTGTGTCCTTTCTCCAATCTTTTATCTGTATCTTCCTGTAGTGTAAATTTGTTAAAGCTGGATTCTAAACATAAAAACTAACTAGTACAGAATGTATTTGGAGAAAACATAAAATACTAGTATGGCATTTTCCATCATTTTTCTTCCCTCTTAACTGTTGGTGGTTGTTTGTTTTCTTATGTTTTGTTTTGTCAAATCATGTTAGGACCTTGTAGGGTTTCTTGTCTCCCTCTCAAAGCTCCATTTCTTCAAGTCAGACTTGTCTTAGTAAATCACGTCTTTGTTTTCCCCATGGTAATTTTAATCTCTGTGGATCAGTCCATCAAGGCTGTCTCCTCTAAAGCTATTTGCCTTTTTCTTCCTGTGATTCCTTCTTGTGGTCTGTCAGGCTCTGTATCTTTTGAGGCCCTGTGATAATGTCTGGTCTTAAATATATTCTAATCCATCAAATCTTAACCTTTTTCCCCCAAATGTTTAATAAAATTAAGTAACCTAACATTAGGGAGTTTGCTTTTTTGATGGTGATATCAGTTGAACAGCCTTCAGGATTTAGCATTAGTCTGCTGTCAGTGGTCTTAGACTATATAGGACAGATGTGATATGAATTGTAAGCTTCCAGTTATGTGGTATAGAGTATATATATCTCACATATGTTGTTACATTGTTGTTGGAAAAAGCAAGTATTGAAGAATTGCTGAGTGTCAATTGCTGTTTCATGCCTAGAACTTTTATTACGTATTAAAAAAATATTTTAATGCATCATTTTGGGGAAGTTTCCACAAGCTGTTGCTGTGCTGTGTTCATTCTGAAAATAATTTACTCAGGTCTGTCAGTTACTGATAAAAACTCACTACATTGGTTCTTTAAAGATGGAAAGAAGTTCTTTATTTCAAACACACAAACGTTTGTGTTCAGCTCAGTGGAACTATTTGTGTGATTAAATATGATTGCTAGCATTAGCAATTACATACAGAATTGGGATCTTAGAATGATAAACAATTTTAGAAACATACTTTTTAAATACATTAATTTTATGTTCTGCCAGCTAAATGTGTGACTGAGTACAAAACCTTTGTAGCTAATTGTTGCTCCTTGCCTGGTTATATTTTTAGGATGTGTTTGTGAAAATTATTCAAAAAGAAGGAATTAAATCATTGTGGAGTGGACTTTCCCCAACACTGTAAGCTAAATGTTCGGTTTTTTGAGTAATGTGTTATTAATTATTATTTAAAAATTTACTCTTATTTAGACAAAGGATTATGTTTATTTCTAAGTGTTTTTTTGAAAAATGGCAAATTCTGAAGTTGCAGATAATGATGTAATGTTATAATTTTCGTCAGATAAGTTTTGCCAGATCTTGAGATTTCTTCTTGCGGTTTCTTTCATACATTCTTTGTAGTTCAGCTTTTTTCTTTGTTCTGTCTTTTAGAGGTTGTATCATAACCATCCCAATGATAGCATCATCAAATCTTAGGGTCAAACATAATTGTTACAGAATGCTGGTGTTTAACTGCTATTTGCTCTCCTAATGTTACTAATGACTCACAATAAGCAATCCAGCTCTTTCCACAGACATTCAACTGTCATTCCTTCTTACCTTGACCTAATTTTTTTATCAAACATCTGACTAGAATCTTCTTTGTTGCAGAGAACCTTGTTGGTTTTTATCCTATACAATTTTGTCATGGCAAACCAGTCATTCCTCTTCTCCCCACAAGAGCAATTTACATATTTAAACATTGTTATCAAATCCCCTCCTGATCTTCTTTTTAGGCTAAACAGCACTGGTCTGTTTTATCTTGTTATTTGTATTAACAGAGTACTGTTAGTCTAAGATCTCTGTGGTTATGTCACCCTGCATAAGCAATCTGAGGTGGTGATCAAATCTAAGATGTATATTGAAGTTGTATCTTGTAAGACATGAAGTGTTGTGTTACATTTATTTTGTTTTAAGTGAAAAGCCCAGTAGGAAAGCACTGGGACACTTTATCTGCACACAGTGCTGAGTTTATAGGCACAAAACCACAAAGCATGTTGGAGCTTAGGCTTTATTTAAGCCACAGCATGTGGCAAGTCCAAAATATAAACTGTTAGTATCTAACTGAACTAAGAGATCTACTTCAGCCACTATAGAGAGGTTTTTTCTTCAACATGTGCTCTGTACTCGTGCAGAGAAGAACAACCTTCTTGGAGAGAGGTACACAGATTTTAAAAGAAAATCTAAACCATGACTTCTTGGTTTTCCAAGGATGACAGCCTCTACTGTTTTTTTGTAATGGTGATATGTGCTGTATTGGCACAGACATAACACAGAAAGATAATTGCCATTTTTTAGTAAGATTTGGTGCTTTACTCCTACACTGAATGATTATAGATTTAGCTGGTTTTGTTATAGTCTTTTTTATGCTGTAAGCTTATATTTACTCACTCCATAATGTGTTTCAAGTAATGAGACTCGTAAGAATTGTTTCAGAAAATAATCTCTAGTTGTTAAATGAATAAAAATGTGGGGTTAGTAGTTGCTTCCATAACATTTTGTTTGCTTCCTTCATATTCAAACCTTTCCATTCCTTTATCAAAACAGTTCTGAAGCTTATATGAAATATATTTTGACTGAGATAATCTACCATCAGGTTACTTACAATTTTCCCTAATGACGTTAAAAACTAGAAAACTGGGAGAGCTATGAGTTTGAAACTCTGAACTAGAGGCAGTGAATCAAAGCCATGGGATTAATGCCTTTTCTTCATCCATAACAATGCACAGCTGGAGATTTAACTTTTCCTTATTTAAGCAAAATATCCATACAAGATGGTTGGCTTTATGCTTCTGCCTTCCTTGTATTAATTTATCTTCCCTGTATATTTCCAAACAATGGCACTTCCTACCACAGCACTCTGTTATACCTGCTATGACCAGCTGAGTGCGGCTCTGAAGTCTAGACTGGGAAAGGATGCTGAACATATTCCAATTCTTGCAAGTTCCTTAAGCAGATGTAAGTTGTCATTGGTTCAAAGAGAAAACTGAAATAAAATATCTGTATGCTGCTTTCTTGGCTTTGTTTTGTTGTTTTTAAAGTAAATTTGCTGTGGCTTCAAATGAGATGTAATGTTACGTGGAGCTGCGCATAGGAAGGAATACTGATTACCCGGTATTTCTTAGGCAACGTAATCCTCTAACCTGGAATAATATGATTTATTTTTGCTGTTTTGCTGTCACTATGTTTCTACTTTGTTGAAAATTTTATAGTTCTAGACTTTTGCTGAGGACAGTTTAATTTAAGTCTGCTCTGTGATTAATCTAATAATAAACATCATTATTTTCTATAAAGGAAGCTACACAGGTAGTTACAAGGAAAATGAAAATTGGACTTGGACTGGTTTTACTGCTGTATGAAATAAAATGACTGAATGTCTGTTTCTCTTTTCTTACTTTCGTTTATCCTTTTCCTCATCTGTTTTTGTAGAAGTAGCTAAGGCCGTATATTTCTGGGCTTTCTTAGAAGACTCGGAGAACGTAGTTCCATATTCTGCTTGTGAGAAATAGAGAGACTGGAAGACTAGAAGGAAAAGAATTGTTATTTGTGGTGATGTGGCAAATTGTTCCTATTAGACTGCTCCTGATTTTAAATTCACATGTCAGAGAAACCTTATCTCAGCAACAGGAGGAAAGTAAAATCATTGAGTCTGTTACATGTGTGATGGGAACTTGTTAGTGAGTGGTGACGCACTGATCTTTCAACAAGATGTGAGAGAGTTACTTTATCAGATACACATCGCCTACTAGATATTCTTGACAGTGAAGCAAGGGCCTGATGGAAATTTCCTAGCCAAAAGCCTTTTAACAAGCAGCAGCAATGAACTGTGTAACAACTGCACTGGGAGATGGGTACGTACGCACATTGTAATGCTTTGAGCAGGACTTACCTCCGAGAATGGAATGCAAGGCTACTGTGAGATAAAGAGGCACGGGGTACCTCGAGACTGCAGAACTTGCTTGTCAGCAAGACCAAGGGAGTACAGGCTATAGTTCACTGAAAGAATATGGTGATGAAGAGAAGGATGAAGTAAACGACCACCAGATATCTCTGAAGCCCACCAAGAGGCTATAATGGCATGTGAGAATGGCTGTGACATATGTTAATCATTTCTCAGAAATCTCCTGAATATGTATGTATAACCTCCATATAAGCTATGGCTCTGACTCTACAGCACGCATATTAGGTGGAAAAATCCCTAGGCACCCAGCAGTGAAATAAAGAATACCTGCTTAATAGTCACCAAGACTGTTGAGTCCTGATTTTGCCTTTTTAGGGCATCAATAGTTTTAAAAAGGATGGCAAAGATGCTTAGAAATCAATAAAAGCCCGATCTCCAACCATTATTTGTGTCCTTTACAAACAAACCCTAGCAAACCCCAAGTTCACTTTCTTCAGCTTACGCTTCAATTTAATAATTATTTAAAACTGGTCTTTATAAGTACTTGAAATTTTCAACCTGATTGTGTAATAAATCTAGAAATGATGATTCTTAACATCTTTTACATAGATTACAACGTGCCAGTATTGAAAAAAAAAAAAGGTGGATAGCTTGATAGCTTGTGTGCCCAGATAGCTTAGGTACCATGGATAGGGTGTTCTTATCTGGAAAGGAAATTTAATTTGGGAGTTATTTCAGGGAAAATGAGAGAGTTGAAAGGAATCAAATATATAAAGCAAGGTAATACCTGACTGTTTGGGAAATATTACTGCTAAATATTGACTTTAAGAAAAGGCCATGTTTTTGTCGTTTGCAGTCGGTTCAGTTACTGTAGTGAGCCCCCTGGAGCTGATCAGAACTAGAATGCAGTGTCGCAAGGCGTCCTACAAGCAGCTGTACACCTGGGTCAGCAGCAAAGTGAGTGCAGAGGGATGGTTTTCCCTGTGGAGGGGCTGGACTTCTACTGTCCTGAGAGATGTGCCTTTCTCAGGTAGGGCTTATTTTCTGTGCAAGTTTGTGTTATGTCAGAAGATCTGACTATGCACGACCCTTTTAGGCTCTTTCAGTATTTTTAGGTAATTTTAATGATTAAAGAGTGACTGAGGTTTACTTGTTCGCTCTTGAGTGTTCCTGTTTCTAAATTCTTGGAGGACCTGATTCTTTTCCCCCCACGTTTTGTTTGTGGATACCAGCTCTGGTTCATTGTTATATTCCCTTTCTCTATACTTAGATTGTTTCTTCTTATCTTCTGAATCACAGAATACCAGGTTGGAAGGAACCTCAAGGATCATCAGGGCCAATGTTTCTTAGCAAAAAAATTAGCTTATGCTTGGCAAAAAAAGTAAACTTATGCTGGTTTTGAAGACTTCGACTAGGAAATTTTCTGTATGCTAGGTGTAGTGGATATCTCCTTACAAAGAAATGTACTGTATTTCAGTGCTTAATTTTGAAAACATGTACAAAGAGGAAGTGACACAGTAATGTCTTCAGGAGTTTTTGTTAGCAAGATGAATGCTCCAAAAAACATGAAGAGTACAAAGTTCCAAAGCTGAAAGTCTAGAAGATAAGTCTGACACAGAGCACAGATAGTTTTAGGTCTAGCCTCTAAGGTAACAAGGACTGACTAGATGGTGCTTTTCCCCTTTTTGTCACACCTTTGCTATGTTGTGAGCCTCAGATGTAATTGGATGAGACTGCTAAAGGACAGTTTTCCCACTTGTTAATGCCAGCGGTGAGAGTCCCTGTCTTTTTGAGGGCCATTGTTGTCAAATCACTGGGCATCAATTGTCCTTGAAGCAGTTTCTGTCCGTTGGACAGTACCAGGAATAACACCTCTGAACACTTTGTGTTGGCCCAGAGAAATGCTTCAGACCTGGTTTTGGAGGAAGAGAACCCTTGAAGTATTTGACCTGTTATCTTTGTTCTCTTATTTCATTCTTAAAATAATCTGAGATATAATTTAATTTCTGGTGCCAGACAGTCTAGTGAACCGGTCATTGGTTTAGACTCATGGGATTTGAGCACATTTAGCTATGTACCTGGAACAAATTTTAAATTGGCTGTGAACCAAACCAATGCTTGGTAAGTGGAGGTGATTAGGATATTTAGCTAAAAATTACACTTAGCAGTTAAATGAGCTAATAGAAGTAAGTTATTTCAGCTGTTTTCTTTTCAGAATGGGTAATACTCTGTTTTGTTTTACTTTGCTACTATTAAGTGTTTGAACATTGTGGTTGTGATGTATCTTCTGCTTAAGGATCTTGTTACCTGATGGGACTTGATTCCCTTCTGTGATGGGGAAAGCCTTTGAACCTATGGCTAAAGATAACTGTCAGGATTCATCTGAACCTTTTCCTGAAGTATTTCCTGTTCAACATTTGTTTTTTAATTTACTTATTTTTCTTTCTCTTAGGCTGTTCTGCTAAGCTTTATAAGGTAACTCTGAAATTCTTCATCTAATTCCTCTTGGCTGACTTCAAGTAGAAACTCTTGTTCTCTTACTGGTTTTTGTCTGTAGCAATGTGACAGGAGGTGGTGATCTTCTTTCCCTCTGTTGCTTTTAACAGTGGGAAGAACAGAGGGCTGTGAGGGAGTGCACAGGGAAGAGGGCACTATGGTGATGTCTGCGTGTTTCTCAGCCCTTTTCAGATTCTCACATACATGCCTGCTGTTCCTCTATGGGTCCAAAACAACCTCGTTGATTTTAAGTCAGTCCCTACACTGCTCTGGCACTCACTTCACAGCTGTCAGGTACTTGTCTGTGCCCAGTACTTCGAAGGTATCATGAGGTGCTGGAAAGGTGGAGGCATGCAGCTACAGGTTAACATGCAGCTACTGCCTTATAGCTTAAGGACTATCGTTAACGAGCCAGAAGTGAGCAGGCAATTAAATGCATAAGTGAAGGAAACCACATCTTAAAAAAACAACTCACAAAATTTAATGCCACAGAACTCTGATGATAGAAAGCTGAGGATGTTTAATGCTGCTAAATGCCTTTTCTGGTTATTTCTCCTTATCCTCTATGCAGTTAGGATGTGCTCCCTTAATACATTCATCTTAGCTCTTCTGTTTGAATGATGCCCTGAGATCATCATGGTTTCTGGTATTCTTACAGCACAGCCTGCGCCATTGCTGCAGCCAGCTCAGGTTAGCTCTTTCAAGAAGAATTAAAATCAGTGTAACTATTTCTATTGAGAAAGCATCTCCTCTGTGAAAACAGTGGAGCAGCACGACATGGCTCAAGCAGCACGGGGTGATTAGAATCCGACTCTGTTACTAGCTCAGGTGTGAACAATGTGCTTCCAGCATGTTCCTTGCGAGGTTGGCTGAACTGAATTAAACTTGAGCTGTGAATGTTTATAAGCCAAAGAATTGGGTTAACAATAACACTTCAGTCATTCTTTAAGCAGTGTTGCGGAGAGTATAAATGTAAAGGTATGCTGGAAACGGAGTCCTGCAGATGCTTAAGCAAAGTTTTGGATTTAGATAATTTATATTGAATTAGGGTTTAATACTTTTCAATATCAGGTTTTCGTCAAACTCAGAAAATGCCTTCTGAGACACTGCCTACATTTGCTTTTGCGAAATGTTGGAGGCCAAGCATATGGGCTGGCACTCTTCATGGCAAGGAAATACTTAGATATTTTTCTGTTGGCACAACCCCCAGAACTCAGTGCTGAGTGAGGCACAGTTATCTTCCAGGATATGCAGCTGTCATTTGCAGTATTTGAGCAACTGCCACAAGGAATCACTCTGTGATTCAGCCCAGTAGCATATAGTTTAAAGAGTTTTTGTTAGAATAGAGAAAGTTAGAATAGAAAGTTCAGCAGAGGAAAACAGAAACAGATGTTATTTCTGAACATTTTTCAGAGTTGCCTTTGACAGCCCTCACAGAGTCATTCTCAACTTAGGAATTCCAGAGAGCAAAATTGTATTTCTTAGTTCTCTCAGAATTAAATTTTACGCTCAGTCCTCCAGAAGAGAGTGAGGCAGGTCTGAGCAACCTTCATTTTGTATGAAACACATTTTTGTAGAATTAGTGATATCTATGTAACTTGTGAAATATGCCTGAAAGCATAGTGATGTTAAGTAGAATTTTAAAAAAATCAGTCATGTGACTTTTGTAGAGCTTGGGTTAGATTGCATTAAGGTAGGGGTTACTTTATGGGAATGCCAAAATTATTAGGCTTATTTGTATCATATGAAGAAATCTGGAATCTAGAGACAAAGGTAACAAGGCAGTCTGTCAATGGATCATCACAGAGAATACTTTTATTTGGCTTTCAGCTCTTGGTTCTTTTTCTTCTGTTGCCATAGCAGAATTCTTACATCTGTACTTTCTGTATTTGGTATACAAATGTGTTTTAATGCAAGTTTATTTTTTTTATAACCATAGCAAGGTACTGGTATAATTATGAACATTTCGAGAAGATGATGTGCAAAGAACTTGGTGCATGTGAACCAACATTTTTTATTGCTTTTACTTCAGGACTAGCATCTGGCTCTGCAAGTGTATATTTTTGTCTCCAGTACTATTTTTTATTGTTGTCACAAATAAGCTATTTTATTTATTGAGGAGGGCCATGAAGATGATTAGAGGGCTGGAGAACCTCTGCTATGAGGACAGGCTGAGGGAGGTGGGGTTATTCAGCTTGGAGAAGAGAAGGGTCCGGAGTGACCTCATGGCGGCCTTCCAGTACAGGAAAGGGGCCTACAGGAAAGCTGGAGAAGGGCTTTTAACAAGGGCCTATAGTGGTAGGACAAGGTACAATGACCTGAAACTGCAAGAGGGTAGATTTAGACTAGATGTAAGGAAAAAAATTCTTCACTGTGAGAGTGATGAAGCACTGGAACAGGTTGCCCAAGGAGGTTGTGGATGCCCCATCCCTGGAGGTGTTCCAAGGCCAGGTTAGATGGGGCTTTGAGCAACCTGGGCTAGTGGGAGAGAGGTGTCCCTACCCACAGCAGAGGGGGGTTGGAACTAGATGATCTTCAAGGTCCCCTCCAACCTTAACCATTCTATGATTCTATGATGATTCTATGATAAAAGAGGTATGGTTTTATAAGGTTCTCTCAGAAGCAGTGTACGTTTTTGAGTGCATCTACGTTAAATACACATTGGCTGGCATTCAAGCTGATGAGGTATAGCTGAATAGATTACAGTGGTCTGAAATCCAAGACTTAGTATTAGGTGCTTGGAATATCAAATCTCATTTTAAATTCTGTCCACTTAGTTTTAAAAATGTCACTTAAAATTTAATTGTTTGTGCTCTAACATTAAAACTGATATATTTTCCTGATAGATTGCAGCTGTCATAACTCAGCCATTTAATCTAGTGAAGACACACAGGCAGACTGCACTTTGGGAGAGTGAGACCTTAAAAAGTAAGTTGCTGGTAAGGAGAAAAAAATGCCCGTAATGTCTGGAAAAATAAAATCTAGTGGTTTACTATATAGACTTTTGGTAGAAAATTTAATTACTTGCTTCTTCTTAAGTTTTTTCCAAAAATTCTGTCACTAAGACCTTTTTTCTTCCCCAAGTTGTAACATCTCAGAGGATATTTTTTACCTCCTAGGATAAATAAAGTACTTCTTTAATGACGTGGCAGGGGAAAAGGTTGTGAGTTCAGTACCATTTAGGTTACTAAGATGATATAAAATATAAACAAAAAAATCCAGAGCTATTACATTTAGGCAGACCAATTGCAAATTCGTGTACATTTAAGAAAGTTATATTTAAATTGACAAAAATATTATTTCTTAGAAATCATTCAGGTGAACAGTGGTCTATTGAAAGACTTCTGAGTTGATAGAAGTATAACATCATAAAACGTTGGCACGTTTACTATCACTTGCTTCTTCATAACAATATCCTTCTTTTGTTTAATATTAGTCTAGAGAGAGAAAGCACTGTGCTTAGGCTGTGTATTTTTTACCTTCTTTTTGTGTGATTTCAAATAAATATTTTGCAGCTTCCAGATGCTGTAGGATGTTGCTGCTGAAGGTATTCTAAGAAAGACATTCAGCAGCATGAAATACATGATTACAGTTTTAATTATAATCTAGAAAAAAGAATTTGTAGCTGCTTTCATATTACAGATGAATGAAAATAGTATGTGCAGGGTGAAGTAGCACAAAAAAATTCCTCAGTTTAACACAGCCATATATGTCTGCAGTGCAGGTTGCTTCTCGATGCTGCTGCAGTCAGGTTGCCTGTGGTATCTCATTTAGCTCTGCAAAGGACTGAGACCCGTATCTCATAGTCTTATATTTTCTTAAACTAATTTACACATTTTTTGGGGGGGGATTTGATTTTTGTGAACTTAGATGTACGATGTAGTGCCCTACCTTAATCATTATAGTAATTCTTACGATATCAATTCTCCAAACTTACCTTTAGATTCAGTTTACCATAAAGTTCTTGTTTAAAAATCTCAATTGTGATGACTTTTTAGCTTTATGTAGAAAGTGGCACGGAGAGAGACTGGCTCATATGAAAGCTAGTTGACTTTTTTCACTATATCAGTTACTCTAGCAAGGAATATTGTCTCTGTAAATCTTACTCATGGCATTATTACAGTTTTTTCCATGTCATGCCCTTTTAACTTGAGTGTTGAATGAATTTGCATACTATCTGAATTTAACACACTGTATAAATAGTATAGATAAAATTAACATTAAAGTAATTAAACCTAACAATTAAATCTGAAGTGACCATTTCTGATTTCTAAAAATATTTTTCTGTGGCACTGTGTATATTGCTTAATTTATTGGGTTTTTGTACTATATTGAGTTCCACAGAAGGCCCGTACATCAATGTGGGCAGTTATGAGGAAAATCGTCACAAAAAATGGGATTACTGGATTATTTGCTGGTAAATCTTTTGATATCTTTCTAAAAAAACTCAGATTAGAGAGAAAGTTTTTTAATCAGTAACAAGTGATTATAGCTGTTAACATGCACAAATTATATAATATTTCCATCTCCATGAACACTCTCAGTTATGGATTAGTTTGCATACATAAAGCAACAGACATGCATACATCCAGAGGGAATTTTGGTAATCTCTTCACAAGTTCCTAAGATACAGCTGTCCAAGATAGATAGGATTTATTTAAAAAAAAAAGTAGAGGGATTTGTCTCTATTGGCAGTTAAAAATGGTGGGAAAAGGTTCAGTTCAGGAAACTTGGTTTTTTTAAATTTAAATGGGGGCCGGTTAGCTCAGTGGTTTGAGCGCGGTGCTGACAATGACCAACACGGAGGTCACGAGTTCGATTCCTGCTCGGTCCTCATGTGTTGCCTGGTCTAGTCGAGAGGTGGCGTCCCTGCTCGTAACAGGGAGGTTGGACTAGATGATCTCTAAGGTCCCCTCCAGCCTAGGCCATTCTATGATTCTGTGATTCTTGAATTGTAATACTTGGGTTTTTCAGAAATGATTGCTACAAAGGAAATGTAATGGATTGTAGGTTTGGCATTTGCAGTGTGGAGGTGTTGCTAGACTGGGAATGTTTCTTAGGTGCGGTTGTTAGTCAAGGGTAAAAAACTTCCAGGCGTCAGTACTGTTGTGGCAGCTCTATTTAGGAATAGCCATCCTAATTTTCTGTTCTTCATCTCATACTAGTTTCTATACTCAACTTTTCTTGTTCTTTCTATCTCAGAAAGAGAACTTAAGCCTAAGTATTTTTCTGTCTCCCTTCTTAGTCTCTGAAGAGGATGCATTACTGAGAACCCAAGAAGTCTGAGTATGGAATTTTGAAGTAGGGTTCACATAAAAAAATACCGTCATGTGGAATACTAGGATGAGGGTAGATTCCATGATGCAGTCATTTTAAGTTGGACTTTGATGCAGTTTTTTACAGAGTACCGGAAGATATGGCAATTATATTAGTATTTGTTTGTTTGCTAGGTGGAAGTAATTATGTTGAAAACTGCATAATATTTGAGACATTCAAGGTCATGCAATAAGGTCATTTTCCTTTAAGTTTTCTATCAAACTGGAAATATCATTCATTTTTTCTTGTAAAATTTTTATTTTTAAACAGATGGAGAAATGCAACCTCAACAATTTAATGAGTTGTGAAGGTGCCAAAGAGTTTTTCAATTTCACTTGTGCATTATCTCATGTGTACACATCTTACATGACTTTGTTACCATCACCAAACCTATTAAGAGATCATTGCTGCCCAGCTGTGCCCAGTGTTCAACATATCAGTTCAGAGTTTAGTATGTGGTTGGTGGGGTTTCAGTTCCTCTGAGCCATCCAGTAAGACAGAATGGCACTGAGAAGACCCCATTTAGCTGTGTATAATTCCGTGATGTATTTTACTTTTCTTCTTTCATTGACTGTCTTAAAGTCAGTCTTGTAGTCTTTCTGATAGCTTTGGCAAAGATCACTTTTTAGCCCTGGACTATGTGCAGTAGTTATTTCTACTGCTGACCCTAATAAGCTGTCTTGGCCATTTAAAACCCTGCATATTTATAGAACAGAAAAGAAACCCTCAGGAATACCTTCTTGTGTCTTTTATAAATTCTGGCAAGTCTCTAAAACCAGTGAGTCCTACCTAATCATATGACTCTTGGTACTAACTCAAAACCTTCAGCAACGAATCTGGTGATTTTCCTGAGAGGTCGAGCACAAATATCATTCCTCCTTATTTTCATCATTATGGCTCAATTTTAAGAGGAGTTTCTAGCATCAAGTAGTGATCGTAGAAGCTCCTGAGACCTCATGAGACTTGTGTTTTGAGTGTCTTTTCTACTGCACAACCAAACTGCCCTGGCTAGAACAGGGACTTTGAGCTGGCAAGACAAGAAAAATGACATTGAGGACTGGATCAAAAGTCCCTTGCTGTACCTCACCCTGAAACTTAGTAGTTCTTTTAATTCTAAAGATCTTTAAGGGAGTATTCCACTTCTGTAGTTACCAAAAAGAATTGACTTTCTTTGGAGACAGTCATCAGTCCTTTCAGTCAATCATGGAGGATTTGGCCAGATGTGAGAATATTCTCTTGCAGAATGACATGGATTTTTTGTAGATATTTAGCAGCAGCTATGACAAATCTTGCTAGACTTCTGTCAGAGTTTCTACTTGGCACAATCTGTCAAGCAAAACGGAAGAAAATTTTGAGTTTCCCAGAAACTGGAGTTCTTGCCTTCTCATCCATTGTATCCTAAGTAGCCGTATAAGGCAACTTGTGTTTCTAGTTGCCAGTCATTTAGCCATATGCTTCTCTCCCCACCCTAATTTTCTCTTTGCAGCTGCCAGATACACTTTACCCAACATGCACAGGAACTTCTCCAATAACTAGAGTAAATGTCTCTATACCCTGGGAGAACTTTGTGATGAAGTACTGTGGGCCTGACTAGTTTGTAGAACTTTCAAGACGGAGCTGGAACAAGCATTACTGTTCTAATGGGAAAGTCCTGGCAGTAAAGCCTGGGGAATTCAAGCTTTAGTAGAAAGTTTGTGTTTCTGTAAGAATGTTTTTGAAATAAAAAAATTACCAATTCTTCACTTGTCAAGATTTTTGCACAATTTTTAAATAATTAGGTATTGTACCTACTGTCCCTCAAGAAATACCATGCTGCAGCTCTGTAGGAAAGCAGAGCCTTAGACTAAATCATTCTCCAACTTCTGTCTAGAACAGTATCATTATCAGACTATGGCTGTTATCACCTCTTTCATGGAGCTACAAACCTCCCGTCAGCAATCCTGAAGATGCCGTTGGAGGGTGCCTGTTATCTTTTGGAGATTACAATTCCTTCTTTCTTTTCTTCTAATTCCTTATTTCTTTCTCTTTTACATTAGAGTAAATCCCTACAGCTTACTAAGCATGACAGCAGATATCTTTTCTTGAGACACAAATTTGTCCCTCTTCAGTCTCTCAATACATTGTTTCTTCTTTCTCTGAGAGTCTACTTCAAGTGGAAATGCTTGTGTTCTGAATGAAAGGCATTTTTATAGTAGATTTGTCTAGGCCTTGTTATTCCATAGAGGAATACGGGTGTTGGGGCCCAGTTTGAATGGGGGAGGCTGAAAGTTTTCATCTATGGGTTCAAGAGCACTAGTGTGGTGACTGTGGACGCATTTGAGAAGGACACTGGTATGTTCGTTCTTCTCTTTTATATGTTTATCCTTGTGCTTTACAGAGTCATATTTTATATCTTACCTTCCAAAATACTTGCCCTTCACTGTGGTTCATCACTATTATCAAGTTTATAATAGACATCAGAGTGTTTAGCAAGAGTGCCTGCAAAAGCCCGCATCAAATGAAATAAAATATTTTTTCCTGGATGGATGATGGCTTGATATGAAGTTCCCAGTTCCTCCAACATACCTATAACTAAACTTTCTTCCACCATTCAAAGAAATGCATTTCATGGTGAATGCTTTTAAGTTTGGCTTCACACTGCGCAGTCTACGATTCATGTCCAAGTAAATATGAATATGGAGGTTACTGTGTTACATTTTGGGAGCATGCGTGTGCTGTTCTGTAATTATAAGCTAATGGAGTTCTTTGAGATCTGCCATCCACGAGTGCACTCACTACGTTCTCTCCCTTTCCTGTATTGTGGCTGAGCGGGAATTGGGAAGTAATTCAGGTGGCTCTAGGCATTGCCCACTCTGCGTACCTGAGTATGGACAAAGGCAGACTGGATTGCCACCACGTGTGACAGAAACAAAGAATTTCCAGCCTCACAAGATGGTGCAAATAAATATCATCAGTGTGAATGTTAAAACTAATTAAACATCCTCAGGAGTTCTAATTACTGGTTCATATATTTCTGTGAAGAACTACTATCATTCATTAAACAAAAGCCAATCTTTACCTGGGGGTGAGACTTTGACCTAGTTGAATACATACATTCAGGTAGTTCTATCAATAATTTTCTAGCACAAGCATCACCAGACTAAAACAGTGTCACTTCTTAACTAAGCTTTTGAATATCCTCATTTCTATGTATGGCAACGGGAGATGGAAAATTGAACCTCAGGATGCTCATACCCCAAACTTTCTTACTTCCCTGGTACTTGCCCATCAGCTACCTCCATGCCCTCCTCCCAGGCTGTTGGGGAAGAGATTCCCCTGTCTTTTTCTCTTCAGCAAGTCTACCTGGCAGCCAAGGCTCTGTTGTCCCGTTCTGTTGAGTGGCTGGGGCAATACTCTGTTGTCACCATGCACAGAAGTCCTTTGTAATGCATACGTGTGGTTCTGTGTGACTGGCAGCCTAAGGAGGAAAGGACAAGGTATTGAGATTAAAATGATACTGAGATAAAAGCTTGTAGTTCTTACTTAGATGAACAACTGCAAGAGATGTTCCAAGCCCAGGTTACTTATCAGTCTTGTCACCACTGCATCAGTTCCTTGGGCTTCTCTGTGTGAATGGCTGCACAGCTGGTTGGGAGACTTGCAAGGTTTGTTTGTGATCACTGCAAGAGATTAAATTGCTTTACTTGCTGTCCAGTGATGACATTGCTGGGTAACAGGATTTGCGTATTTCACAGCACTGATGCCAGGAAAATACAAAACACCAGAAACTATCAATATTATTAGACATTTTGGGTGAAATTTAGTTCATAGATTAGGATACTTACATTTAAGTTTGGACACATGATTAACAGTGTAGAGATGTTCTCTTGACCAGCCACGATCTCAACTGAGTCACCACACGTAGGTGAGATGATGGGGGCGTTCTGTCCGGCTCCATGCAGATGTCTTTGCATTTCAAGAGGAAGTAGATTGTGTGTAGATGGGTAGATTCAGTCTTATTTCCCTACTTCTAGGTAAAGTGAACTGTTTTCTAAACTCCGCTCACAAGGTCATAGCTGATTATAATGGAAGACATTTAATGCCTAAATTCTGTTGTTTATAAATGTGACCAGGATTCTTCCGTTTTAGTAAAGGTGCTGTAGGTTTTAGGAGACAGTGGCAGGGGAATCACACTTTTTACTTAGCAGTCGGCTTGGAGGGCCAAGACACGTACCTACAGCAGAGGCTACAGCCCAGCGTGGTACTTGAGCCTTTTCCTCCCTGTCCTTATCCATTTCAGGACTCAGGGCTTCCTGAACCTCTCGTCCCACCTGCGAGGTGGGAATCCCAGTTCAAGAGTGATGCACTAAGGCGCCAGTAATAACATAAGCACTAAATGGTTCTGCAGCACTTCAGTCAGAAAACAAATGACAGTGAATACTTCCCTTTCTCTTCCAGGCAGGTTCTACTCCATGGCTGATTAAAGTTGCTCCTGCTTGTGCCATAATGATCAGCACATATGAATGTGGAAAGTATTTCTTTGCTTAGTTAATTAAATGATAAAACAACCCCCAACATCCTTAATTCTCCTTCATCTGATTGTATGAAGTCAAAATATATGGTGAAAATTTGAATCTGTCAAAGCATGTTCTAGAACTCCCAGTGAATGCCTGCTATTATATCTGGTAACTGAATACAACTTAAGTTTTAACTGTTTCATAAAGCATAAATTCACTTTTTTTCTTAAAACTAAGAAAATACACATGACAAACTATCATTGAAGATTTTGTGACTTCTCTTGCAGCTAGAGAGAAAAAAGAAAGAAAAGGAAAGAAAAAAAGAAGTGGTAATTGTCCTTCAGTGATGAAGGGAAAAAACATTGAGGCTGGACAGAGAAATTAAGAATAACCACTGCCACTCTGTTAATTTTCAGTCTGAGTAAACATTTTTGTTGCGTGTAAATGACATTTAGAAAATGTTTTGGGCTTCCAGTTGTATGATATGATTATTCCTTCATAAGGAGGGTGATACAGAATGAATTCAATGAACATTTATTTTCATTTAATACATGTATAATTCTGTGTATGTTTGTTATTTGCAGCTCTGCATTTTGTGTAAAGGCATACTATAAAATAGTCTTTGGCTTCATCTCAGGTTTATTTAAAATGAAAAATGCTTTAGATCAAACTGGAAAAAGTACATTGTGCTCATTAGAAATCCAGAGCATGGCAGATGTGTTGATAGGAGCTGCAGTAGCATTTTTTTGTTTAAGGTAATAGAAATTAAAGCACACCGAGGCACTGAAGACAACTGCCTCTATGGGTGTTCGGGAGGAATGCTCCCTCGCAGGCTTTTGGGAGGTGCAAGCTGTCACTGTCACAAAGTTCCAAGGCAGGGCCAGGCTGCCTGCAGGGAGCGTTCTCCATACACAGATTGTGTGGGGTCACCTGATTTCGAAGGCCTAGTTTGCTGGCACAAAGAGAGGCAGTTCCATGCCAGTTGAACTCAGTCGTGTACCTAGCTGAAGGGAAGAAGACATTTAATTTACTGCTGTAGACACAGCCACTGTCTGTTATGGTGGGTTGCACATGTGGTATGAACAGTTGCAGCATCTCCCTTGCCCATAGGCACTTGACTTAAAGAATCAGAATTTCCACTGTATGTTTTTCTTAATTTAAATTATTTTAAAACTACCCTTGCTATATCCCCTTCTTTCATTAAAGTTGCTGAATTTTAATTTTTGCATATTTTAAATGAGGGGGGCATACTGGTACAAAAGCAACTCAGTAGTCAGGTCAATAAGACACCAGCTTCAAGGTGTTATTTTACCCAAGAAGTGGACTACTCTTCTATTCTACTATGAAGAAAGTATCCCAGCCTGTGTTTGGCCTTGGTGAAAATTCATCACACACTGAAAAATGCTCTAGTTGTAAAGACATGAAGAGAAGAGAATAGAATAGAATAGAATAGAATAGACTAGACTAGACTAGACTAGACTAGACTAGACTAGAATAGAATAGAATAGAACCATGTACACTGGAAGAGACCTTTAAGTTCATTGAGCCCAACCTTTAACCCAGCAATGCCAGGTCCACCACTAAACCATGACCCTTAGGACAACATCTACACGTCTTTTAAATACCTCCAGAGATGGTGACTCAGCCAATTCCCTGGACAGCCTGGACAACCCTTTCAGTGAAGAAATTTTTCCTAAACCTCCCCTGGCACAACTTGAGGCCATTTCCTCTGGTCCTATCACTTGTCCTATCACTACGGCCTCCTTTCAGGTAGTTGTAGAGAGCAATAAGGTCTCCTCTCAGCCTCCTTTTCTCTAGGCTAAACAGCCCCAGTTCCCTCAGTCCTGCCTCATAAGACTTGTGCTCTAGACCCTTCACCAGCTTCATTGCTCTTCTTTGGACACACTCCAGCACCTCAGTGTCTTTCTTGTAGTGAGGAGTCCAAAACTGAACACAGGTTTTGAGGTGCAGCCTCACCAGTGCTGAGTACAGTGGGACGACCAGCTCCCTGGTCCTGCTGGCCACACTAGTTCTGATACAGGCCAGGATGCTGTTGACCTTGTTAAACGTTAGGTACAGAGTTACAGCATACAGTGCTGGCCACAGAGATATCTGACATTGTTCTCCCATTGTGATTTTCAAAGTAATTTTACACTACTACCTCAAAATAAGGCCTAAGAGAAGGAAAGAAAAGTAGTAACAGCAGATTTTGGACCACATTGAATGAAATACAGCAATAAAAACAGTCTCCCTGTTTTGCAAGAAAATAACTTATCAGCTCAGTAATAGTGTAATTTGCTGAATGATCTTATTTTATCCTGTGTGATGAAAACAAAGACAAAAACTAGTAATTAGCGATGATACAAAATGTTTAATTTACATGCAACATTTATGGAACGTCAAGGCAACAAAACATAAAGTTTAGGCATTTTTTCATTTTTTTTTGAAAAATGATTAATGTTTAGAACTGAGAAGGACACACATAACTGATTTCCCATGCACAAAAGGACACCCAGAAACTCACAAGTGGTTTCAGACTACATAGAAGACTTCATTTAAATGACACATGAATTTCACACCAGTAGCTCCAAGAAAAGAGCCATCAGCGAACATGACTGGAGATCATGATTGTAGCCCCCTCCAAAACACTGACACAGTGGGATGTAGAAGTGTTTAAGAGCAAACAAGACTGATTAAATCACTGTACCTTGGTGCAGAATGCTAACTTGTAGAATCCGTATTCCTTCACTGTGTTTGTAGTAAAAATGCATCTCTAGTTGACAAATTAGTGTTTGATAATGTTACTCAACTGCCATGAGAGAAGAGGTGCTTAATGTCATAACAAAAAATAAAAGTTACATGAAGTAATGGACGTTCTGACAGTGTATGGAAGGATTTAGTGGTCAGAGTTTATTACAGAAAAATTACCTGTGTGGGTACATGAGGGCTTAAAAGACAAGGTCTGGTGGATTTGGTAAGATGTTTTAAAAATCTGTGTTAAAATGTCATCAGAGGTTGCTTACCCTGCCATGGATGCAGTGACCTCCAGCGCTGTGGACTGGAGAGATGATTCCTGAACCTCCTCTGGCTAAACCCAACAGTGCCTTGAGTTCCAGGGATGCGTAGCCTTGTACTTACAAAGGCTAAACATTTCCCGTAGTTCTTAGTAAAGGTAAGAATTAACCCTCTTTCTTTCAAGCCCACCCAAAGATGACCAGATTACAGTAGTAGTGCCAAGGTACTGTTATACAAGAGGCAAATCAACTAAAACTGTACGGAGTGTAGTGACATACTGTGGACACCTAAGAGTAAGCAGTAATTGAAAATCTGTCTTGTATTGCAGCTACTCATGTAAACAATTTATGAAACTTCTTTGGCACAAAAAAGCGTTTTCCCTAGCACTTATAAATACAATGTACTTACATGCATTTAAGTTTTATTTAAAAAGTTACTAATCATACCTATAAGCTTTACCTTGATTAGCAAAATTCATAGATAAAGGATCCATCATATCTTACAAAGAATTAAGAATATAGTTTGCAATCCAAAAATTAATTTGCAAACTTTGAAATTGTAGGGTAAACTGGAAAGATAGTTTCATTTAAAAAATGTCTTCCTTTTTAAAATTTTTCTCTTTTTCTATCAGTAGTTTAAATCAATGGCAATTAATCTGAGAAAACTACTTAAATAAGTTCTGCCATATTACCTAATCAAGAAAAATACCTACTGCACTACTACAGGAATGAGAAAAGTCTAACATGAGAAGACTGTCATTACATTGTCTTTGTTTCCCCTTTTTCACTCTCCTTGGGATTGTGCCAATAAAAACACAACCAAAGCTTCCTGAGGTGCTAACCCCACCATCCTTAGTCCCCAGCTTTCCAGCAAGGCCAATAAATCAAGAACTTTCTCATGTGATGTTTGATTATCTGTAGCTCAGGTCACTCAAAAGCATAAAGTGAGTTTCCTCAACTTACAAAATTGCTAAGTATACTCGATTTACATGATCAACTTACATTTGTTACTCACATGCAACTTCAAGAATTAGTAAGAGTGTTTCAGGGTGACTTTTCAATGATTTGGACATCTCGTTAGTGCTGTGATACTAAGAGGAATGCAAGATCTAGCACTGAGTCAACTTGAGAAGAGCTGTTGATAGGTTAAACATGCTATTTGAGTTCCTATGCAACATACACAGATGAAAAGCTGGATCTTTAAGTAAAATATTTACTTGCTTGCAAAGACTGGTGTTAAGGATTCCCTGTCTGTTCTGCAAGAGTTGATAGATATTTAAAGCACTGCAGAGAAGCACCATGGCTAGAGTAGGGCCAGGCCATTGCAAGGAGAAACAAAGGTCATGGCAGTTAAGCATGGGACTGATTTCCAACTGTTCCGTTAAAAAAATCAGTCATAAATATCAGATTATATATCCTGTACCTGACCAAGAGCTTTAAATAATTCAAGACTAAAATAGAAAATCTAAAAAGTCCTCTGGGGAAAAAAACTGACAGAATTTGTGAATTGAACAGGTGACCAAGAGAAGAAAAAATAAAGCAGCTTATGTTTTAACGCAGAACCAGCAGTCTTCATTGCAAGTCACTTTATGGAACAGAAACCAAATGCATACAACACAAAGCTCTTCCTTCTTGAGTGTGTCTCAAGATGGTGTTAAGCCTGGACTTGTCATCTCTGTTGTGGGGCTTGCAAGATATTCACTTGATTTCAGACTTGTGAGAGATTTGTAGCTTGCTACTGATGTAAGAGAGCCACAAAGACCAAGCAACGATGGAGTGTCTTCCTTCCCTGTTAAGAAAAACAAGATCACATCGATAAAGTAGCATCTCTTAAATTTGCGTTTGTTGTTCCTGACAGAAAAGTTTTATTCTCATGAGAAGGATGTAAGAAAGAAATAAACAATGCAAACCACACCCTGCCCAACAATTCATTACCAAAAAAAAGTGATGCATAGTTCTCTTGTATCATTTATGGTTCTTATTAGCTGTTTCCACTTCGTATTAGGTCTCATGTTTACCACATTATTTTCAAGTGAATGAATAGCTTTCCCTAGAAATATACTAGATTACCTCTTTTTAAAAAGTTTTTATTTTTAGAAAAATCTTTATTCTCATAAAAAATACCCTTTAAAAACTACATAAAATACACAAAGAGCAGTGCAACACTTTTTGGGCACAGCCCTTGATTTCAACAAGTGTGAGGCAAAAAGTCTGACTACATGAATGGGCTTGATAGTATTTGCAGAAGATTGTTATTTTAATCTTTTAATCAAAACTGCCACACCGAGCTACACCAGAGGTATTTTAACAGCAGGATCACGTGCTGTGTCTTACAAAATTATATTAAAACTTAAATACTAATAAATCTGACTGATTTAAAAGTGAGATGTTATACTACCCTTAAAGACAGAACCTTTAAATCAGAACTTATTCTGTTACTGTCAGTGGTTTTACCATACTTTAATTTACAAAAGATATGACAAAGCATAGCTTCAAGTGATTAATACTGAAAAAAACTCAGTTCAAAGTAGATCTGCATAGGAGCTCTTTTCCCAACAGACATGCTGACTCTATTTCGCTTTCTTTAAGCAAATTTGAAATAATTTAGATTTGAAAACTTTAAAGTTTTTTAAAAAGTTCTAAATTTTACATCCTTGATATTTTCAAACCAACAAATTTTACAGTTATCATCTACTAAGACTCTACGTTGTCAAATCTATTTGAAGTTAACATTGAAGAGATACAAAGAGGATTCTTTACAGCAACTTATGTCCTGTACCCGAAATACTACTGTCAGAAGTCTTAAGAGCGTTTTTCTGCTTTTCACAATTGCCCACAAGATGGAGCAGCTAAACCTGATAAGGGTACAGATTTCGAAGGGGGCGGGTGTGTGTGTCTGTTACATTTATATACTAGCACGGTTTATATCAAATTCCTCTCTCTTATTTTAACAGAAACATTGTCTACATCTTCACAGATAATATTGAATGCAAGATGCAAGTGTGACAGTGGTAGCTGCATATCCAGCGCCTTTTATCTTTCTTTTTAGAAACAAAAAACGAAACTTAAAGAACTGAAAAGATTTGAGTTAGTTATAGCAGAAAGATGCAGAAGGAAGATATGCAACATATGTGAAGCTTAGCTTTAAATACAGCACAAAGTTTTACACTTATTGGGGGGGAATCTTCATAAATCCAAACTTATTTGAAGTATATTCCCCTTAGGGAAACCAAAATAATTTGTGAAATAATGAAGAACATGCCATTGAATGTATATTTTGTTTGCATTGAAAATTCATCTCACGGTGGCTGAAGATTAGAGCTATGAAAAACAGAACAAAATGAAGCCACTACACTGGCTCTCTACCTTCATTTAACAAGTTCACTCCATCCTGTTTCCCATCCTGTGAGTGACCTGGATCCAGAGAGGATTGAGAAAGACTAACTTCTGCTGACAGTTGGTCCAGACTTTGAAAACTCTTCCTGCAAAGCAAGTAACATTTAACAGTAACACATTTAAAGTTCTAACTAGATATTTTTAATTCTCTTTAAATAGTTTCAAAAAAAAACCTGGGCAGTTAATCTTTCTTCTCCTAAAACTTTCTAATTTTTTGTGTTTGCTTTCTAAAACACATTTTCTTCCTAAAGCAATGATTTCCTTTTTTAAAAAAAAATATTCCAACGGAAGGAAATTTTTATGGTAAGCAAGGGAAACCAATTTTTCTGCCAGTTGATCCTTGTACATTGTAACAGGTAATGACAGCAGGATAAATTTCAGAATATGCTAAGGGAAATTTATAATTTTGAGTTTCCCTGTTCTTCTAAAGGTAAAACAAAATAAAATATTCAACTTACTCATCCCACTGTTGATTGTGCTTTCTGTAGAGTAGAGTGTCCAAGGCAACAGCATTGACATCCAGAGCTCCTGGGGAAGGCCACTGATTGGTGAGGTGAGTAGTTAATTCTTGTCTTGATCTCAAGTCATTATTCTTTAGCACAGTCCTGTGAATACAAAAAGCAATAAATCTCAGTCTGTTAAATGTAATTCCTCAAGGCACGTAAAGAAAACAGGACAAATAGTCTCAACCAAGTTGATGTTCTACTTTGAGTGTTTAACAGATTGCGGTTTTCATAAAGGATCTTAAACTGTTCGTTTTTCCTACGGGAAGCAATTTAGAAACTTATTAGAAAAGTATATAGGAACAGAAAAAAGTTGAAATTAGAATCTTTCTACAAAAGCACCAGCAAAGCAATTGCATTCTAAAGATTCTTTCTGCCAGCATGGTGGTAATTAGGAGTCCAACTAGTCTGCAAACCAAACATGGAAATATGATGTCTCTCCCCTGCCAATTTTTGGTTTGCAGTGTAGACATCCCTCTCAGCCCACCCACCCATCCACCATTCAAACACTTTTGCAGAATGATCTAAAACCCAGACATGTTGATTCCATTAAATGTTTCCATGAGAGTTATTCAGTTTTCTACCACCTTAGAGTTTCTGTAATTTATATTTTTAAGTTACAGAAAAATGTGTTAACGGAGTACCTTAAACGTTCACATTAATTTTGCTTCACTTACCCGTGATCAGTTTTCTAAAATTCTGGAAGCTAATACGCCGATATGAGAAATAATATGCCAAAATTCCTACACAAATAAGGGAAGTACATGGTTCCAGCCTAATAGTACAAGATAACCTTCAATCTACCTTTTTACTGCTGTAGAATAACTCTAGTAACAAAAGTAATGTTGGTTGTAAACTCAGAAATCCTCCAATCTATGAAATACTAGGCAATAGTAAAATGCTGCTTTACACCAAGTTTGACTCTCTGTAGCCTGGAGCAAATGGTGAATGTTATGTATCTCATATATGGAAGGAGTTCAAAGCCAAATGCTATCCAATATGCCAAACTGCATAGCAAATTAAATAATTCTTCATGGTACACACACATTTAAGTGAATTAACAAGTAACATTGTCAACAGGCCTATTTTTACAACATAGTTTTTAGACTCATGGTACCTGAACTGGTTAGACCCAAAGAGCAAAATAAGGTAAGACAAGAGGGAAGTCTGTAAGGAATTGTTAATAGCCAACTTTGAGAGAGTAGACACAGCAGTTTTGCAAGGAAAGGCAATGAAGCACCACAGCGAACAAAACTACTTTCAAGAAACTTTTCTCAAAATGAATTCCCCCAGTGTTCACGCAAGTCAATAATCCGCTTTCTCTGGGACCTCCCCCTTCACCCTCCTCTCTAAGTGGCCTATAGGAATAACTACTCTGATAACCCAAAACTCTTGATAATTTCAAATATCTGGTATGGTATTCACTTCCCCTGACCCCATGGGGTACATGGAGCTTTAAACAGGTCTGTTAAAGGCTTATTGATCTGAGGAAACTGAAGCAGTGACCAAGCAAGCTCTTATGAGCTTAGCCCATGACACTGCATTACCTCCTTATTCAGAAGGACTTCTGTGCTTTCAGAGAAGTTTGTAACAGCACACAGTTTATATTAGCAACTATGCAAATTCATACACATGTAACACCTACATGTAAATTTCCGTTTGGACAACTCCTGTCTACTATCACCAAATACTTCAGCAGCAGTGTTAAGCTATTATTAAATAAGTTGCTAATAGTGGAATTCTGACATTTTACATAGGGTCCTATGCTGAGATTTTTCCCACAAATTTTTATGCTATAGTAACCTGAAATTCCACCCTTTTTTCCCAAAGAAATTCTGAAGCAAAGATTAGCCAAACTACTCCAGAGGTTTTAAAATAACAACATTTAAGGACAGTTTTAGCGGATCACTACTTAAACCAATCCATCACGCTCAGGCATCAAGTAGGATACAAAAGTATTCTATTCTCTTCTTAAAACTTTTATGCTTGTATTTTGAATCTTTAAAAATCATTTTGAATATATGAAGTCAGTCCAAACACAGCACTGAGTATCTATAAAATAGTAGTATAGATGATAGCCTTGCAGATTATTTAGCTATGATGAGATTCCACTGCAGCAAAGACTTACTAAAGGCACTGCTTGCAAACAGCAATTCTTTCAAGTTAAACAAAAAGCAAAAGCAGTGTCCATTTATGCATATTAACTAGACCTTGTAGAGTCAAAGTATTAAACTGCACAGAATCACAGAATCATTTAAGTTGGAAAAGACCCTTAAGATCATTGAGTCCAACAGTGCCAAGTGTAGCCCTACACCGTGCCTCTACGGGCCATGTCTACGCAGCGTACATCACCCTCAGACTCACAATGGCCACGAGGCTGACATGATCCTGCTACAAGAGGAAAAGAAATGGAGATAAAAGTGTTTACTACAGAAAGGAGTTTAAAAGGAAGGAAATATGATAAATTTTAATGAAAAAAGCATACAAATTTCAAAGTACTCAATGTGAAAAAACGCTGCACAAGAGTAGAGGGCTGTCCTGCTCCTGGTCAGACAAGAGGAGTTCTTGCTAGAAGTCAAGAGCTCTCGGGAGACAATAATTTAGTTCATCCGAGGCAGATTGAATTTCTACAGTAGCACTCTTGTTCCTCAGAATTCAAATGTGGTAATTAGTGCTGGCCAACTCTAGTCTGCAACACTGCAGGGTTTTAAGAAGGACTTTTCTTAATTATCACAACGAGGTTGATTAAGATTATGAACTTTCCTCTACATGTTTACTGTCAGGCTGTTTAACCAAAAGAAGAATATTACTATTAAACTTATTTATCTGCTAGTATAGCAAAGTAAATTTGATGTATAAAAACTTTCGGAGGAAAAATTTGAATAAAATGATCAAAGAGCAAAAATAAGAAATGCAGAAATGGTGGAGAGGTATAAATGGCAAATAGGAATATTTGTGAAATTTACAAGATTCACAAAACATTCAAGAATAAAATGTAAAATGAGCATTTTTTGTTATTTACACACACATAAAAAACACTCTTCTGGCATTAACTGGGAAATATTTCAAGAGTATTGCCAAAAGTTCCCATAAAAATATTGTAATGTTAATATATAAGCTTCTATAAAATGCTGGTCTGTTACAAAACATACTGACCTAGAACAACTTATGCACAAACGGATTTTATACTGTTGTTTCTGTGTTTGAAAATAAACCACTGATGAGAAACACCAACTGAAAACCAGATTGACCTGAGACATTGAGCCTCAAAGGATATTACTTCATAACTTATAAGCATAAGTTACATGGAACGAAATCCATAATATGTCATAAGAATAATACTTAAGATCACAAGTATGCAGTTCTATTTCTAACTAAAATTCAATAAAATATTGTTCTATTGGTTTTGTAGCTGTGACCATTTAAGGATGATGCCAGATAGGCTTTGTAGGTAACGTGTTAAGACATTTAGGGGGCTGGTTAGCTCAGTGGTTTGAGCGTGGTGCTGACAACAAGGACCAACACTGAGGTCGCGGGATGAATTCCCGCTCGGTCCCCATGTGTTGCCTGGTCTAGTCGAGAGGTGGCGTCCCTGCCCACGACAGGGAGGTTGGATTAAATGATCTCTAAGGTCCCTTCCAGCCTAGGCCATTCTATGATTCTATGATTAATACAGGAGTAAAAGCAAGGATAATCCAAAAAAGAGAAGAAGAAGAGAGACAAAAGGATATACTATAGAGAGAAGTTAAGTTAAAGAAGGAAACACAATCAGGTTTGAATGCAAACTAACAAATGAGCATACACTACGCACTGTTAATTCCTTTTCTTCAGACTGGAAACATAAAACTTGAAAGCCAAAAAGAAGCTAAACTAATGGCTTTTAAATGTAATAATCCCAGAAAGGTAGTCGGTACCTGGAGAATACAGCAGACCTTTGTAAGAGATTTTATGGTTGTTTTTTGAATCGAAGAAAGGCAGTGTGTAAGATATGGCTGAACAAGGTATCTTGGACTAATACGATGAGACTGCAGAGTGCAGCAAGTTTTGTGTAGCTTATAGAGAATACTTAAGAATTTATTACAAGAGCAGGAGTGTTAAACTGATTTATGGTACATCACTTACTCTAGTCATGAAAAAGTTCTTGATTGTCTGAAAGTCTGGGAAATTTTCTACCCATAGACAAACTGGTGTCTTCACCTTCTCTTTGTAATCATGTTGGCAAAAAGGTAGCAGAAGCTCTCTTTTGTGATCTGCAGAAATAAATTTTTTTTCTCCTGCTCTCAACATTTATGCCCTGAGAAGTCCTCACTCCAACAAATATTTCTATAAGATAACTTATAGCATGCTTAAAGTTCTGAAAAACATTGCAAAAATCAAGAAATAGTGAAGAGATGGCAGACAGAGAGACAATATTTCTAATTCCTTTGGACATAATTGCTGAATTGCTATTTTCATACTGAAAAGTGGTGAGGTTAAACCCTGCAAAACGCTTCTTGGGATTTATTACAGCAGAGGGGCATTGGTGGTGCTGGAGACAGAACACATTTTCAAATAATTGTTTTTAAAATTATCAAATATCCTTTGTATTACTTTACAGCATAGATTTCTCCTTAATACACTTACGTAAGAGAAGCACAAAATACACAGCCTCACCATGTTAGCCCAGGATATCCTGTTGAGTTATGACATTTAAATTGTGGTTGTGGTGTTTGTTTTTTAATGTCTAAAAAAAGAAAAACTTCATACAAATTCAAAAATACTGCTGCAGCTAATATCCTGTTAGGAAGAACAAGCAACAAGAGCTGAGAACATCTTCTCAATACTAGACTACATCATTAAAAATTAACAAATATTTGGCTTAGGTTTATATTTTTTGTTCTCTACATCAGGAACCACCATTTAAATTAAGCTCCTCTTAGACAATAAAGAAAAGTATTCAGTAAAAACATCTTGCTAATGAATTCCTGCCTATTAAAAAACATGCTGATGATTCACTAACTAATCAACACTAACATATGGCAAAGTTAGGAACAAGTGTCTGCTTGGAGTGCAGATACCTATGCTTCCTCCAGGCCTGTAAATTTATGTGTAAGAGCTCCTGC